CTGTGCATTGTGGGGAAATTAATTAATCTTGTGATCATTCAGACAAGGTTTTCAATGATAGCTGAGTTGCAAATGGTGCCGTGAAGTGCATCTCCATTTACAGTGGATTACACAGTTCAATGAATGTGATGGTTCTTCAAGTGAAACTTAATATAGATCAGTTTATTTAGTCAGAGTGCTATCGATATAGATTGGCATTACAGAAGAAAACTCTAACACGGATTTAAGTACGCATAACCAGTTAGTTTTCGAGAAGAGTTAAATGCACCAGAGGTCCTAAAAGTTTCATCGGGGTGTCATTTTAGTCCTAATTCTTCCAAAATGAACCTTTAGGTCTTAATTCTTTAGTAAGTGGTTCACCCGAGGTCCTTTTTTCATGGACGCTCGCTGACCTGCCCGCATGGCGCATTGACCCACGCCACGTCAATAGAGGCCCAATCGCCAGGCGAGAAAAAACACCGAAAGTTTAGGTCCTAGTTCTGGGCAGTGTCACTTTAGTCCTACTTCTGTCAAAATGCACAGTTAGGTCCTAGTTCTATAGTAAGTGGTTCACGCGATGTCCTTTTTTGCACGATAGCTCACTGACCTGCTCGGTTACGTGTTGACCCATGCCACGTCGACTTAGGATCACTAGCAGATGAGGAACACTTCAGCAAAACCTAATTTTTTCACCACTATCATCCCGTAGCTATGTGATTTCCTCTACTCTGCCACAATCACTAGCTGTAGACATTGATTTAGTTCAATTTGCACTGTTCATTAAGTTTCTCAAACCGCTTGCTCTGATTTGAGGTTAGGTGGTAGGAGCTTGTGGAGGAGGTGGTGCCGACGATGATGCTGCAATGCTCCTCTTCAACACCCGCTTCCCTACCGAGGAGCTTGTTGTCCTAGCAATCGCGACGATGTGGGCATGAGAGGGGGGAGAGAGAGAGAGAGAGGATGTCGGTAGGGGCTGGGAAATGTCAACAGGGGGGTTTACAAGGGGCTTTCTGTAAGAGAAGAGCAACTGCAGCAGCCTCTGAGTTGACATGATGTGTCTCAACGCATCACGCAAGCATGTCAACAACCGCTTGTGTAAAAAAGGACCTCAGGTGAACCACTTACTATAGAATTAGGACTTAAATGTGCATTTCGAAAGAAGTAGGACTAAAATGACACTGCCCAAAAACTTTTAGGACGTTTCTTGCCTCGCGGTTGGACCCTGTGTCGATGTGCCGTGGGTTAGCGCGCCACGCATGCAGGTCAATGAGTGCTCGTGAAAAAAGGACCTCGGGTGAACCACTTTCTAAAGAATTAGGACCTAAAGATGCATTTTGAAAGAATTGGGACTAAAGTGACAACCCGACAAAACTTTTAGGACCTTCAGTGCATTTAACTCTTTCCAGAACATGCAGTACATGTTTTTTGACGATTGATTAATTTCTAATCCTTTTATGTCTCAGTTTGTTGATTAGTTATGATCCTGTGAGAATTCAATCCACTTCGATTTTGTGCAAGAGAATTTAAACTTCATGTGTTGAGACCTTTTGGAGCTGGATATATAGCCTGCAAGTATCTGTATTTTGCTTGCGTTTAACACTTGGAAACCAACTTATTAATTATTTGTAGGGACAGTGCTACAAATACTGATTAATTGCTTGTATGACTATCAATACAGAGGCAAAATACTTGATTGCGTAAATAACGTTCGAAGTCCACGTAACTTCTTTAAAATTAACGTTTAAAGGAATCCATGCTCAGATCAACAGTTCATCAAATAATTCAACGACAAATTCAAAACGTCCATTGGAATATCTTGTGTGTAGAACATTTTTCTTTTTAAAAAACTGACTGCTATTGCCTGTTCACAATTTGAGTCATCCACGACAACTCCACGTCGCCACTCCTACGCTACACGACGGCCCTCAGCCTCTTTCCTCACCGCCACCAGACAAAACCTGTAACGCCCTCGATGCGGCTATATCTCCCACGTGTTGAAGCACGACTTAGAGGCATAACCGTATTGAAAGCAATGTCGCAAGTGAGGTAATCTTCACACAACCCATGTAGATAAGTAAAGGGGAAAAATACATAGTTGGCTTACAATCGCCACTTCACACAAAACATGAATAAAGCATTACAACATCCAAATACAATCAAGGTCCAACTACGGAACCAAAATAAAACAAGAACCCCAAATGCGACAAGGTCCCCGATCGACCCCAATTGGGCTCCACTACTGATCAACTAGAACGAAACAACACAAAGGACAAGATCTTCATCGAGCTCCTCCTTGAGCTTGGTTGCATCACCTGCTCTGTAACATCGGCACCTGCAAACTGGTTTTGGAAGTATCTGTGAGTCACGGGGACTCAGCAATCTCACACCCTCGCGATCAAGACTATTTAAGCTTATGGGTAAGGTAAAAGGTATGAGGTGGAGCTGCAGCAAGCGACTAGCATATATGGTGGCTAACATACGCAAATGAGAGCGAGAAGAGAAGTCAAAGCATGATCGAGAAAACTATGCTCAAGAAGGGATCCTAGAACAACCTACGTCAAGCATAACTCCAACACCGTGTTCACTTCCCGGACTCCGCCGAAAAGAGACCATCACGGTTACACACGTGGTTGATGCATTTTAATTAAGTTAAGGTTCAAGTTATCTACAACCGGACATTAACAAATTCCCATCTGCCCATAACCGCGGGCACGGCTTTCGAAAGTTCAAAACCCTGCAGGGATGTCCCAACTTAGCCCATGACAAGCTCTCACGGTCAACGAAGGATATTCCTTCTAGCGGGAAGACCCGATCAGACTCGGAATCCCGGTTACAAGACATTTCGATAATGGTAAAACAAGTTCAGCAACACCGCCCGAATGTGCCGACAAATCCCGATAGGAGCTGCACATATCTCGTTCTAAGGGCACACTCAAATGAGACATCCTACGAGTAAAACCAAACCTCAAGTTACACCGAGGTGGCCCCGCAGTCTGCTCGGTCGGACCAACACTCAGAGGAGCACTAGCCCGGAGGGGGGGGGGTTAAAATAATGATGACCCTTGGGCGCGCGACCCCCAAGGGAAAAGAAAAGGCTAGGTGGCGAATGGTAAAACCAATGTTGGGCATTGCTGGAAGAGTTTTATTCAAGGCGAACTGTCAAGGGGTTCCCATAATAGCCCAACCGCGTAAGGAACGCAAAATCCAGGAACATAACACCGATATGACGGAAACTAGGGCGGCAAGAGTGGAACAAAACACCAGGCATAAGGCCGAGCCTTCCACCCTTTACCAAGTATATAGATGCATTAATTAAATAAGAGATATTGTGATACCCCAACACGCAAAACAATGTTCCAACAAGGAACGATCTCCATGTTCCAACAAGGAACAAACTTCAATCTTCACCTTCAACTAACAACGCTATAAGAGGGGCTGAGCAAGCGGTAACATGGCCAAACAACGGTTTGCTAGGACAATGTGATTAGAGGCTTGGCTTAACAATATGGGGGGCATGATAAGCAAGTGGTAGGTATCGCAGCATAGGCATAGCCAAAGAGCGAGCAACTAGCAAGCAAAGATAGAAGTGATTTCGAGGGTATGGTCATCTTGCCTGAGATCCCGCAAGGAAGAAGAACGAGTCCATGAAGAAGATAAACGGATGTAGTCGAACGAATCCTCATAACACGACGTTATCGGAACCAACCCGAAGAAGCAATACCGGAAAGGAGCAAACAACATAGTAAACAACCACCACAAAATCATGGCATGATGCACAATCAAGTATGATGCATGTCCGGTTTAATGAAGCATGACATGGCAACGTGCAACAAACAACACTATAAATTAAGTCGAGCTCAATATGCAACGGAGTTGCATATTGAAGAAAACACCACATGACTTATTTAGTTCTCTCTCGTTTATGTACTCAACAATATTAAATATTGTTAAACATGGCAAGAGGTGAGGCATAACAAAACTACACCATCTAAACAATTTAAATGGGGCCGGATATAACAAATAACGAATCCGGTAAATCCCCATATGCCTTAGTAATTTATAGTGGCAACAATTTAAACATTTTAATTGTTGTTATCATGATGCGGATGACATGAACAAGTTTATGCAATTTTTTATTAAAAGTTGACAAGAGCATTATGAAGCATTTGTCACCATGGTGGAAAGGAAAGGGGTGCCACGGCCACGATAACGAAAATGGTGCCACTGCAACGTTCCGGTTCCGGTAACTCGATTGAGATACTGATGCAAAGGAGAAGTGTGCGGATGCGTACAAAAGATGGTGGGGCACTCCC